CATGAATATAATGATCCACCAGGATAACATGAAGTATAATGACCCCAGGATAACAGAATTAATGATCCACCAGAAAACATATAACGACCACCAGGAAACATGAATAATATCCACCAAATAACAAAATAATGATCCACCAGGATAACAAAAGTATAAGATCCACCGGGATAACATGGATAATGCCCCCAGGAAAACATGAAGAAAAAGATTCACCGGGAAACATAAAGTATAATGATCCCCAGGTTACACGAAAAATGATCCCCAGGATGTAAAATAAAATGTCCACCAGGATAAATAAATAATTTCCCCAGGAAAACATGAAAAATGATCCTCCAGGATAAAATGAAGTAAATGATCCACCGGGGATAACATGAAATATAAAGACCACCGGATAACATGAAAATAATGATCCCCCGGGGATAACATGAAGTATAATGATCCACCAGGATAACATGAAGTATAATGATCCACCAGGATAACATGAAGTATAATGATCCACCAGGATAACATGAAGTATAATGATCCACCAGGATAACATGAAGTTTTAATGATCCCCAGGATAACAGAATAAAATACCACCAGGAAAAACATGAAGTAAAATGATCCACCAGATAAAAAGGGCATAATGAGTTGAGACATGTTATCCTGGTGAACCGGGATAAATGAAGTAAATGATCAACCAGATAAATAAGAAATGATCCCCAGAAACATGGGGTTAATGATCAACCGGGGTAACAGAAGATAATGCCACCGGGATAACATGAAGTATAATGTCCACCGGATAATGAAGTATAATGATCCACCAGGATAACATGAAGTATAATGATCCACCAGGATAACATGAAGTATAATGATCCACCAGGATAACATGAAGTATAATGATCCCAGGGTAAAGAATTTAAAATTTGACAACCGGGATAACATGAAGTATAATATCCACCAGGATAAAAAGAAGTTAATGATCCCCCAGGAAAACTGAAGTATAATGATCCCCCCGGGAATAACTAAAAGAAATGATCCCCAGATAAATAAGTTAATGATCAACCAGGATAACATGAATAAAAATGATCCCCCCGGGATAACTTTAAGATAAATCACCGGGAAAAATGAAGTATAATGATCCACCCGGAAAAACATGATATAATCCCCACAAGGTAACATAACTATAAGATCCCCCGGGATAACATAAAGTTTAAAATGATTCCCAGATAAAGAAGTAAAATGACCCACCAGGATAACAAGAGCATAATGAGTTGAGAGGTGTTATCCGGTGAACCAGGATAACATAAGATAAGACCCACCGGAAACAGAAGTAAATGATCAACCAGGATAACATGAATATAAGATTCACTAGGATAACCCATGAAGATAATGATTCACCAGGAAAAATTTAAGTTAATGATAAACCAGGATAACTAAAAGTAAATGATCCATGGGGATAACAAAATATAATGACCCCCAGGATAACATGAAGTATAATATCCACCGGGATAAAAAAGTTAATGATCAACCGGGAAAACTGAAGTATAATGTTTCCAAAAGGGGTAACATGAATATTAGATCCAAAAGGGAAAAAAAAATTATAATTATCACCGGGATAAAAAATTTAAATTAGTCAACTGAAACCCAAGACTAAATATAGGTAACAGGGGCTACAGATTACCTCTTAACTAACGATAAAAGGGTCCCCTATCACAAGTAAAAAGGGGGAAAATTCTTGGGGTCCACCTCGATAATAGACTCAAATTTCTACACTATACAACAAATTTCTAAGAAAATTTCCAAGAGTAGGCATACTATCGAAGATACGGGACTATGTTTCCACAGTCACCTCCTGGCCCCATACACTCCTTTTTTTTACCCCTATCCCCCTATGGAATTTGTTCAGGGGCTCAACAACAATTAACCATCCAGACCATAATTACCCCAAAAAAAGGCTGCAGTTGGTGATAACAAATTCCCTACAGGCAGCACACTCCCCCAAATTCAATCATAAACCACTCCCATACAAAACAACCTACTTATTACTGCCCCATTACATACATAGAACACTTAACTCCTGTATAACCCTCCCCCCCAAACACTCCTTTCCAACCTCAAAGAACACATACCAAACACAGGGCCCGCACTTTTGATGTTTTCCCCTGTCCATCCACACTATGCAAAAAACCCAAAGCACTAAAAGGCCCTAAAATCTAATTTATTCCTGTAAATAAAAAAGAACACAAAATTTTTTAAATTTAATCTCTACTCAAAGTCACTTACCCCCAAAACCAAATAAATACGAAAAATGAACCTTTTTAAAATTTTATATCTTAAATGTTTCTCAAATTATATCACATAAATGTTAAACCTAAAACCAATCTAAATTTTTTTATTTTTAAATACACACCTAACAGAATCCTATATGACTGAATTCAACCAATACCCCGTCTTTTTTAATACCAATTGTGCTTTAAAAATAATCTGTTTTTCATTAAAGTTTTTTAATGATTTCATCATTTCTTTGTTAATCTTAAGTTAATTTTAAGCCACCCGTAAAGCTTTTGCATAGTATAAGTGGCTTTGGCAGCTGCCTTTTTCTTATTTTTTTGTACCTCTGTATGTGTGCTCAAATTGGTAATAAATAAAAAATAAAAATAAAAAAACTATAGTGACAGATCCAGGAGAGAGAGAGAGAGAGAGAGAGAGAGAGAGAGAGAGAGAGAGAGAGAGAGAGAGAGAGAGAGAGAGAGAGAAAGAGAGAGCAGTTTTTTGACTACCACTCACTACTTTGTGATCGTCAATATGGCTTCAGGAAAGATTACTCTGCTGCTGATCTGTTATTAAACCTCTCCACTAAGTGACACCAGTCACTGGATGAATTCAAAGTCAGCTGTGTGGTAGCACTGGACATTGCTGGCGCTTTCGACCGGGTGTGGCACCAGGGCCTCTTAGCAAAACTTCAAGCACTGAGAACTGCAGGCTCTACGCTATGTCTCCTCAGTGATTACCTTCATGGTAGATCTCTAAGTGTAGTTCTCAATGGAACGGAATCAGCAAGACATCCTATTGGGGCAAGTGTTCCACAAGGAAGCGTGCTGGGACCATTGTTATGGAATGTCTACTTCAACGACCTTCTTCATCTCATCCCAGAATCACATGCATATGCAGACGACTGCACACTGACATTCACTTATCCAAGAGAAGAAATGCCAGCTGCTCTAAGCTACATCAATCACCAGCTGAGAGCTTTATCAGCTTGGGGAAATAGATGGCAAGTAACATTTGCACTTTGAGAAAACGCAAACGATGATCGTCTCTAGGCACCATGACGGTAATGCTGGTGCAGTAGTAAGGATGAATGGGAGGGTGTTGGCACCTGGAGAAGAAG